ATACATATACATATACATATACATATACATATACATATACATATACATATACATATACATATACATATACATATACATATACATATACATATAGGATTTTCAGCCCTTTCTGATTTTTATTCCTCTTCCTCTGTTGTTCTTTCTTTCCCCATCTATTTGTCAATTAGTTGTTCTAGTACCACTACTCATTTCTTTATACAAAATATTCCCTTTCCAAGGCAAATAAAATAACTGCACAGAGGATACACTGGTTTAATCCTCTTCCCTACAAACTATAGTGTACACATTGTTCCATTATTCTTCTTCAAAGATTATTTGAATGCTATTTTATCACAAATGCTTTTTTCACAATTCTGTGACATGTTTCCCTTTTACGTCTATTTCTCAATGTCATGCTTTCATTGTATTACCTCCTTCGATACCTGAAGCTGTAAAAGAGGAAGTAAAGTAGATTGCTCATTTTTCTCCAACCTATTCCCTGAATATGTGAGATCACCATTTTTGAGATCCAGATTTACTATAGGATCCATAGCTTTTAAATATTTCATTTTTCATTCATTTTATTACATTTATATGCCGCCCTTTCCCCCAAGGGGACTCAGGGCGGCTCACAACTCAAATCAGGGGAGGGGGGTACAGACAAGAAATAAATACTCTACTGTGCAAATATTTCATTTGCATATTCTTGCTGTGTTACACTCTTAAAACTCATTCAGTGCCCAGCTATCACCTTGATTTTGTTATCCTGTATTTGCACACAAAATGAGCCAAAACTTATTATTATTAATATATTGCCCAAAATGTACCTCAATGGAACAAGCCATAAGTGACCCTCTCTCAATGGCATGCTTCATGATTTTATATGTATCTTTAGGAGCATCCTTTATCTCATAGAATTCTGTCACTCCTCCTGTGAAATCCTCCATGGCCTCTGTGGTGTTGCCTCCTTTTAATGCTTCATAGGACCCGTGAAGCCTGAAAAGGAACACAGAGACAGTTAAATGGCTCCCATTGTTAGTCTTCATCCATTTGTACGTAGAGCAGCTTTATCTCCAGACGGCAAAAGATGACACTACAAGAAGAGCTAGCTTCCTTCATAGATGTTTTCACTTATTAGCCTTAACCATAAATAGATTTATTTGGATTTGATTAATGCGTTCTATGAAGCCACTCACTGCAGATTATAAGCCATAGTTTATTACTTATTGTTAGACGCATGATGCAAAAACATAGTTCTCTGGGAAAGATGGAAGGAAAGAGGATGGATGGCCAGCAGCATAGTGGATGAACTTGCTTATAGTAGCAATGAGTACATCATTGGAAGGACCAGGTGAAGGACAGATCATCCAGGAGAAAATCTGTCTATGTGGTCATTAGGAATCAACTTTATAATGATGATTATGTGCCATCTACTTGATGGCATATAATCACCATTATCAATATCTGACTACAACAATTGTGTAGAAATCATGACTCAAAGTAATTGATCTGATGGAAACAGTATGCAATTCGGCAATGAAGGAAAGCACCCATTTTTTAATTGTGCAAAGCTACACAGTGTAAGAAAATGTAGTATTTGCACAAACAATGGGACCAATGAAGCCCAAGAAAAAATAGAATTAACTTTATATTAGGTACCATGTTATTTGTGAAAACTACTACTGTTTTATATCTATATGCTTTAATCTCAACAATAAACAGTATGTCATAGAAAAGAACTGAATGGAGAAAACCTGTTTACTTTGCATAAGCTTTTTCCAGTAATGCACTCCAGAATTCATTCTGCTGGGAGGATTTAGTGAAGACCAGATGTTTTCCATATGTTGGTAAACGATCATCGATAATAACTTCCACCCAACTTCCATAACGCCAGAACTGGAAGATTTGAGGAAAATAAATTAGAATTCACCATGGTAGACACTGTAAGAAATAGATGTCACTTATGATCAAAAGCTTGTTTATACACTATAAAAGGGACTAGATTACATTGTTTTGTGATTAATTCATAATAGGAAAATACATTGTCATCAGAAGGCGTGCATGACTGATTTTCTCCTACCTGGAACTCATCAGACATACATTACACTACATCGTTCAAACGCTCTATCAGAAATTGAATTCTTGAACCTTTACATTTTAGATGACAATTTACATTGCTTTGACTTTACCAACTATCCAGATATGGATGCTTAGTGGTTGTGAGGAGGCATATACCCTATACCAGTGATGGCTAACCTTTTTTGTCCTCGCGTGCCGAAACTGCATGCGTGTGTGCAACAGCGTGCACACATGTGCACTCACAATGCAATGCATCCCGACCCTGCACTTGAGCGCATGCCCCCTGCTGCCCCCTCGTGCATGCCCGTAACCCACCGCACATGCCCTGACCCCTCATATCTTGGTTTGAGACTAGAGCGGTCCTCTCTGAAGCCTCCCACACGCATGCATGCACATCTCCTGCATGAGCAGCAGAGTCCCCAAAATCAGCTGGCTGGCAGGTGGCACGTGTGCATGCACAGTGGAGCTGAGCTGGGCAACGGCTTGCGTGCCTGGAGAGAGGGCTCTGCGTGGCTCCTTTAAGGAAACTATCCCTTTTCCTTTAAACTACACAGAAGTTACCAATTATGTACATGGGGCACAGTGAGAACATGCATATACTGCATTATTCTGACATTAGCAAAATAGTGATTAATATAGGCTTTTCATTTCTGAGTTATTGTTTAGTAATTAGTAGATCATAGTTGAAATGCAGAAAGGAACATCATCCTTGGTCAATTTTACAATACATACCTGGAAGTGAAAAATCCCAGCATAATCTTTTGTGAAGGTCTGACCCTCTGGAATGACCCGAAACAACAATTTTTCATTCAGGGTCAGACAAGCAATGGCAGCCAGAAACCAACAATCCCCTGAAAGAAAATAAACAGGGTTGCACAAATTCACTGTTGGAATGAAAAAGAATGCAAGCAACTGAATAATTAGACTTTATACCACTAATCATATTTTTGTTTTTCAGACAAATGTTTACTACATATATTAATTAGACAGTGGTAACTGATAAATTAATTGGATAAACAAAATATTTTAAAACCTAAACAGCTGCAAAGAAAAGATTTCATACCTAGTTCCCCTTGACAAATGTCAGACCTATTAGCTCCACCAAGGATAAAGCGTGGATTCTCACAGATTTCCTAGATAAAAGAAATAAACTGATGAGAAACACACACACACACACACACACACACACACACACACACACACACACAGAGTCAGAGAAATGCCATGAAAACAA